TCGCATTCTTCTTGAACACTGACCCTTGTAGTACCTTGTGAAATGTAAACATATTGCTCTTTTCTTTGTTTCCCAGGCTTTCCATATTAACTAAAATTTGATTGTATGATCCTTCTCCCTACTTAATACCACCTTGTAGTTGAATACCATTTCCTTGGTTTAGGCTTTCTATAAGCTTACTATTTGTATCCCCCTTATTTCTCCCTTCATTGGCCTTATTCCATTTTTATTCACCACTTTTAGGCCCATTATTTCCAAGATTCCCATGGCCTACTTGATGGTAATCCTACCTCGTTTTTCCTACAAAATCCTCTCTCGTATTCCATCTTCATCTTGTTAGGTCTGCTTATTTTTTAGTCCCATATGTTTTGTTTCATGTAACTCATTTGAACTAATTGCCTCTATTGCCACATATTTATTATTTTTAATAATATTTTTTGACCCTTTTTTTCGTACTTGTGATAGTGACCAACATATTAACCATATGTTCTCTTGTGCATCCTTTTTATGATTTCTTGACACCTTTCCTCAATATCATTAGAAATAATGTCCATGTCCTTTCCTTTTTCATCTACCTTTCTAGAAGTGTGTAGCCCACCTTATTTCTTGTTCAATTTTTTGTACCTCTCTTTCAACTCTTGATATTTGCTAATAATGTTTCTTGGCATTTGTTCCTTTACTAACAATGGGTTGCCCCTTTTGTAGTGTTTTTTTCATGTAATGTTATGTCAATATTTTGAATTTTGTTCGAAAACATGAATGAACTCTTGTCAAAGCTACCCTTATTTCTTTCTTCATTGCCACATTAATCTTTAAATCCATCCAATTGGATGCCTTCTTCCGAGCATTTTGATCCCTTTGAGAACACGATAGCATGATATTCATTATCCACAAATGATTTTTCATCATCCTTATACTTGCTTCTTGAAAACCAACAACTATAGTTGTTTACCAATATAACTACCTCTTCAATGGTTTTGATTTGATAAATTTTCCCCTTAATCTTTAACACAAAGCATATCACTGATTGGTTTGGTGAAGATATTTTTACCAACACTCAAGCATAGTCCACCCTCCTCATGTTTGGTGTATCTTCGCCCATGGCAATTAAAGTTCTTACAACCCATGATCTTTTGAAAAAGTTTCCACCCCATGTGTCCAGAGAAATCCTTGTTATTTTTATCTATGCAAGTTTGTTTTCACTTGTCGTTTCTAATCTCTGAATTGAATGAAAGATTCATAGAATCCCATCTTCCTTACTTTGGATCATATTTTTTTGCCTATTATTCCTCCAAGTCGTAATGAGATTCATGTCATCACCCATTGTTAGGGCTACTCGAAAACCATACGAGTCGAAAGTTACATTTACAAAGCTACTCGAGAGAAAGATAAAAGTCAACACCTGCTGAGAACGTATGAGGAGCCTTATTTGTTTGTGCTCGAGGTATGGTCGAATAGAACAAGGACTGCTCGAAAAATAGATGAAGGAGGTTATTGGAGGTATCTCAAATAGTTGAGTAGTTATACCAGAGCGGTTAATGAAAAATAAATCGAAAAGATAAAAAACACGTGGGATGAAAGGTTATAAGAAGTTATGAGAAGTTATATCCTAAACCACGTAATGAGAGCGTAGTGGATGACGGGTACCTTCCAATAACTCGCACGTACACCATCAACAACCCTCGATTAGCTCTATAAATATGCAAGGTATAGTGATTTATAAAGGTCAGAAATTTCATACTTGAACTCTCAAGCACTCACCGCCTGCGCATATGGCTTTCATGCAAGGAATTGCTTCTGGGTATGACCATTTCTCGACCACATTTCTTTTCTCTTTTTAGGATTAGGATTAATGTAGTTTTCTTTTCTCCTTTCTCCTTTTAATTACGTAGTTCTAGACTTTAATCTTGTAATGCTTGAACATTATGCAAAATGAACCATGATTTGTATTGCGAATATATCTATTGTTCATTCTGTTTATTTGAGGATTTACTTTCACGAACATTATTGCTTGTTAATCATTGATGAATATTTAGAAACAAGTAATTATTAAATCTTTCTGCTCCATCTTTTATTCTTCAAATATCTAAAAGCGTCAAATACCTAACTTGAAACACCATTCGTGCTAGTTCGAATAAAAAGAATCCATAAACTAATTCCACCGTAAACAAATTGGCATGCTCGGTGGGACAGGTTTAATTGACAAACATAACTGAACTAGTGTTAGGTATATATGTTGTATGAGACTTAGGAGTGGAAGAATCATGTCTACGTCTAATAATTCTAATAATAGGGACAATGATAATCAAGTAGATGTAGAACACGTAAACCCCAAACGCAGATAACGTGGTTGTTGTGACAAGGGGGGCAACATCACCCCCTGTTGTACTCGAAAATGTGGCTAGGCAAACCAATGTGTCCCAAGAACTCGCAAATGCCACTAGAGAATATCCATGGGGTATGCCATAGAATTGGCGAAATACCCAACCTGTACACGTCAAAATGCCAATACCCTATTTAGGACCAAATTCACAAATGCATGTATCCCCACAGGGATATAATCCCGGTCCAAATGGTTTGGGTTTTGTTATGCAAGACCCGTATCAACACGTAGGGACTAGTCACGAAGGGTCTTTAGATCGACAGAGTAGTTATGTCCCCACAGGGATTAGTAATCAAGCCATGATGGCTCTTCGACAATAGATGGACCATAGTAATCATGACATGGTCAATTTGTTGTCAACCCAAATGCATAACATAATAACTCCTTTGTATGAATTAATAAACAAAATAGGAGATAAATTGGGTGATGGTCCACCTTCGAGAACCATGAGTGCAAATCTAAATGATATGGAAAATGTAGGTGGGCATGGAGTTATTCCTCAAAACGTAGGTCGACCTAATAGGATCCCTGATGATAACTTAGATCAAATTGTAGAAAGGGTACTAAACAGGCATGGTTTCGAGGTTGGTCGAAATGAACGTCCTTATTTTGTGTCTGCTTTTCCAGATTATATAACTCAGGTAGAATTGCCTAGGGGGGTAAAAGTCCCGAAATTTTCAAAATTTGCGGGAGACCTAAATGAGTCCACTGTCGAACATATAGCTAGGTATTTGGTCGAATGTAGGGATTTAGCGAATAATGAATATTTAAAAATGTATTTTCTGAGTTCGCTAACTAAGCATGCTTTTACATGGTTTACAACATTGCCTCCTAATTCGATAAATACTTGGGCTCAGTTAGAAGGTAATTTCCATGAACATTTCTTTTGAGGAGAAACAAAAGTTAGTATAGTTGATTTAATGAATGTTAAAAGACAAAACCATGAAACATTAGACGACTATTTAAATAGGTTCAGGTAGTTAAAATCTCGATGTTATACTAATATACCTGAACATGAATTAGTTAAGATTGCTGCAACAGGATTAGACTTCTCGATTCGTAAGAAATTAGTCAATGAACAGTTGAGGGATATGGCCCAGTTAGCGAAAAAAGTAAGGAGGATCGAACAAATTAAGTTAGAAAAGGAGAGATTGAAGAAGTTTGATAGATTTGTTCGAAAAGAAAAGGTAGCCTATTTAGAAAACACAAACACAAAGATAGGTGATGATATCAATTATGAAGGTTCGAGTGAGGATTTTGAGGTTAATATTGCTGAATTACGTCCTGGTCCTACTTATCAATGTCAAATGTTAAAACCAGGAGATAATATGGAAGGGAGTTCGACTAAGAGATATAGTTTTGATGTGACTAAGGCAGATAAGATATTTGATATTTTATTAAAAGATAAGCAGATTGCACTCCCTGAAAACCATAAAATTCCTCCATTCGAACAAAGAAAAGGGAAGAAATTTTGTAAATATCATAACATGTATGGCCATTGGACTAATAATTGTGTGCTTTTCAGGGATATGATCAAGAAGGCGATCACTGAGGGTCGTTTGGCTTTCGAAGAAAAGGATATGAAAGTGGATACTGATCCATTTGCAGCTCATACTAGATATGTGGAGCCAGTCTCGATGGGAATTAATATGGTCGAGGTTAGCATCGAAGATGATGAGAATATTGAGCCTATTTCTGACAAAAAACTCGAGGAGTTGATGGATGACTTTGCTAAAGAAGAAGAGCCTATCTATCCAAAAGAGGGAGATAGTTTGGTCGAGTTTTTGTCCAAGAAAAAAGAGGCTGATAGAGAATTTATGCTATGTCCTCGATGTAGTGATGTTTTCGACAGAGCCGCTACTAAGGCTTTCGAAGAATCAGAGATCATGAAGAACTACAGAGCTGAAAAACTTCGAGAGAAGGTTAAACCTAACACTGGGTTGAACACTGGATTAACAATGAGGCAGGTACACATGTCTCAATATAATGCCCCTATGGGTAAGATGGAAATGCATAACTCATCGAAGTTTGGCAATACCTTTATGCCAAATGCTAACGTCCCAATTGGGAAATGGAATGCCCCACCCAGAAAAATGGTTGGAATGGGTCGAGGAAAACAAGTTATGAACTATGCTGGACCTACATTCCAGGCTGGAAAATTCTCGAATGTTTCAGGGGCTCCTAGCAAATTCCCGAGCATGACTGGAAGTTATGGGCGTGGTTTTTGGCAACCCTTCAACAACTTGACTAAGACCCAGTGGAGGAGGCAATAAAGAATGAGGAAAGCTACCTTTGAAGATTTCAGAGGAAATCGATTTTCGATCCCCGTACCACAAAAAGGTGTGTCATCTCGGAAGTTCGTGGAGGATGATGAAGATCTAATAACGGACTGCTTCGAGAGTGGCTGTGATGACTCTCTAGAGGATATTTGTGGGATAGTGTCAATTATGCCTTCTGAGTATGCTGGGGCCATGGAATCTGTTAATGAGCAGGAAGATATCCATCGAGAGGATTTTTCAATGATCCCAACTATGAGTCTAAGATTGTGTGGGTCAACCAAATTTTGAGGGTTATTCCCAAGTTTAACTCAGCTGTGTTTGATTCTCCTACTAAAGAGATGAAGGGTCATCTTAAGCCTTTGCTGTCAACCTTGATGATCGAAGGGCATGAAGTAAACAAGGTTCTGGTTGATGGAGGAGCAGCCGTAAACATACTTTCGAGGACTATGCAGAAAAGGTTTGGAAAGATCACGGCCGATTTCAAGCCCCACAACATACTTATCTCAGATTATGCAGGGAAATCATCACAACTTGAGGGCATGATTTTGCTCGATGTTCAGATCAAGAGTGTGAAAAGAACTACTATGTTCATAGTCACTCCATCGAAGGCGAATTTCAATGTCTTATTGGGGTGTGAATGCATTCATGGGGTAGGAGTTATTCCTTCGACTGTTCACCAGAAGATTTTCTTTTGGAATGATGATGAAGGATTGGAAGTGCTCGATGCTGATCAGAAAGAATATGAAGTAGGCATGTACTTCGCAGATCAACAACTAACTGCATTTGCGAAAACGAGACCTTTCGATGCTCATAATGCTGGTATCATTGACGAAGAAGAAGGTGTTAGGAAAATATTTTGTTGGAACGTGAAATGAGGGTTTGTTGTTCGAGCCGAGAAAGAATCGGCTCAAGAGGAAGAATGAAGGATCAGGATCCTTATTCGAGCTTTTTAGCTCGAATGTCGGCCTACATGGCCGATCGAACGGCCCACATGGCCGAGGAATGTCGAGACAAGGAGGAGATGTCAAACAAATCTAGAGATGATGAAAGTAGTACGGCTACTTTGGCTGAAGAAAAAGAAAAATGAAAAACAGAGAAAGATCGAATGGACCAAGAGGTCGAGAAAGGAAAAGAAAAACAAAAAACAAAGAAAGATCGAATGGATCAAGAGGTCGAAACTTTGAAAGAAGACAAAAAGCAAGAGTCAGAACTAAAGTTAGATTGTATTTTCGACGATTCACCATTGGGATTCGAAAGGGCGACCAGTGAAGAACACAAGTTAGAATCTCAGGACCCACTCAAAGAAATAAATTTGGGTACTGTCGAAAATAAGGTTACTTATATTAACAAACTCTTGCAAGGAAAGCTGAAGGAGGAATTAATTCGAGTGTTGCATGAATATAAAGACTGCTTTGCATGGGATTATGATGAAATGCCGGGATTGGATCGAGGATTAGTAGAGCATAGATTACCTATGATTCCGTTAAAGAAACCAGATAAGCAAAGTCCTCGAAGGTTTGCTCCTGAGGTAATTGAAAAGATAAAAGAAAAAATTGAGAGGTTATTGAAAGCCAAGTTCATCAGGACCTCGAGATATGCTGAATGAATATCGAATATCGTGCCCGTTATAAAAAAGAATGGAAAACTCAGGGTATGCATTGATTTTCGAGATCTCAACACAGCTACCCCCAAGGATGAGTATCCTATGCCTATTGTTAAGACAATGATAGATGCTACTGCAGGTAATGAAATTATGAGTTTACTCGATGGT